CTCTTTTAAATGTTCGCTCTCTGCTGAACAAAACTTTTATTATAAATGACCTAATTTTAGATAATCACCTTAAATGTGTATTTTTGACAGAAACATGGCTGAGTTCGGATGTTCCTGCTGTTCTCGCAGAGGCCTCTCCACCAAACTTTAATTTTACTTATTCAATAAGAAATGGAAAAAAGGGAGGCGGAACTGCTTTTATAAGCTCTTCTACACTTTCCGCAAAACCCGTTTTATTTGACAAACTTCACCACTTTCGAATATAGTGCAGCCATTTTTAGCGATTTTCAGATTTTATGTGTTACTGTTTATAGGCCTCCGAGGCACAGTGCACTTTTTATACAGGAATTTTCCGAGTTTTTATCAATTCTGCACAACTCTTTTGATAGTATTATTTTAGCTAGGGCCCGACCGATATGCTTTTTTTGGGACCAATACCGACATAAAACTTTTAACAAAGGCTGATAGCTGATATAATGGCCGATAAATCTCCCTCACAAAAAAAGAAATAAATACAAATGTTCTTAAGATTAAACCCTTCATTATCTGCCTTTTTGATGCTAACTTATTTCTATATTACACACCAAAGAACTGTCTAAACAACTCACTAGGGTTTCCAAGTAATGCAAATTAGATTTATTTAGCAATCTCAAAAACAACAGAACACACAAACTACTACTGAAGATGAGCAGATGCTGCAGATGACATCACCGGATGGATCTTTAGTGAAGTAGGCCCACACCTTACTACGACCCTCTTTTTCCATCTGTAATCAGCATAAAAGAACAGTTATATATCTGTTGATGCCAAGACAAAGTAAAATACATTAAATGTGGCATTTTTGTTTAAAAATTATCATGTAAATAAATGATATCAGACATTGTGGCTCAAAACCAATGGCTCTGTTTTTGTTTGGTTCCCCAGATGTTAAGGTTTTCTCATTTAGTATTCGTCTTTTTTTTTTTTGCCTTCCACTTAACTTTCTACTCCGTTTGTTGTCAGGTTGTTTTTCTAGTTATTCTTCTTTCCCTTTTAGAATTCTTTCTTCTTTAAAAATATTTTCATTTATAGTTCCTCCTATGTTCCCCTGCTGTCCTCTGCTCCCACTCACAGCTCCTCCTCATAACTATTCCTCTGTCATCTCTCACTCCTCAGTGCATACGGTTCCGTTTCAGTCATACTCTGCTGGTTTCAGCATCCTAGCTACCTGTTTTTATTTCTGTCACCTGATTTTTGGCATTAAAATACTTTTGAGTTTTACACTTTTGTGTTGTGATCCTTTCCAAAGCCGACAGTATTGGGAAAATAAAAATAAGATACGTTAAATGACTAGTATGTGGCAATATATAAGCCTTATGTAAAATATAAGGATGAAAAAATACAATAGATTTATTCTATTGTAGAGAGGAATGTTTATTTTCTCGTATTACCGCCCCCCCTCCTCTCCCAGCAAGGGAGAGGAGGGGGGACTCCCTGCACAGCGTTTCATTGCTTTGTTGCCAACCCCCCCTCGCCCGTCCTCAGCTGCGACAACAGTCGTGTGCCGCCGAAGCTCAGCGAAACGGGGACCGCCTTCATTCGTCGCCCTTGTTATCCTATTCTACAGCGCTTCGGCGCTCCAGCCCGCGCCGTGCAGCCATCGTTTCGGCGTCTGCACTATTTTTTTCGTGAGCCACGGGTGAACCGCGTGAGTTTGAAAAGACTGCTGAAGAGCGGAGGAAATTGTCTGAGAATATTCCAGAATGTCTACCAGAAAAAGGCCAGCAGAAAAAGGGGAAGCAGCGTGAGCTCTGCATAGAGCATAATGCTGCGGCAGTTTTATTTTATTTTTTCAGGTTAGCTTTTTAATACGAGGCCACGAGGCACACAATAAACTTAGGAAGCCTGTTGAGGGGAAACATACTTATGTCATTGCTTATTTTACCATTCAACTTACCACTGACACAACAAATATGCTTAAAACTGAAGACTTACCTCCTACTTCCTCAACACCGTCGTCTCTGCTTGACTGAATTGATTCTGCTGCTCCGCTACATGTGTGCTGTGTGCTGTGACGGTGGCTCCACCCCCCGAGGAGTGGAGCCACACAACAAAAGTTCATAAAGCTTGTGCCATCTGCTGGATAATCACAGTGCATTTAGTGCCAACCACAGCCTTAAGACATGTGTTGAACGTGCTCAAGCCTATACTTATGAGCGCACCATGTGAGCACCTGTGTATGTACCCGCGCTTGTATATGTAAGGTTTCTCTATAGGAGCATCCAATAGAGAGTGAGGGGCCACAGATCTGCCCCCAAAGATGTGTAGGAGATGGAAGGATCTCCAAGTCTCAGAGATCCAGGAGCTGCCCCAGAGCACAGGGACCCCAGGGAGACTGCAACCAGAGAAGCCCCTGCCCCCTCTCGAGAGGTGCAGAGGATTGGGGGGCCACAACCAGCAGCTGGCAGAGTCCCGGGAGGTAACAGCAGCAAGCCCACAGGCCCGCCCACAGCCTCCCACCCCCAAGCCAGAACCCAGTGACCCGGGACCCAGGGGCATCCAGCCCTGCCGGGAACCCAACAGAGCCCAGGGGCTCAGATCCCACCAGGCAGCCACCGGGAACAATCAGACAGACGCCAAAAATCTTAAATCCCCTGACACGGGAGTCGCGAACACTCAGGCAGACCAAGGCACCACACTCCACACCAAATGTGGCAGGGCCAACCCCCCCATACAGATGCGGCCCACGGAGCATTTTTATGTGGCCCGCGAGATAAATATCAAAAATATATTAAAACTGGCCCGCTGGTCGATTTTACCGCAAAGACTTCAACTCCCACGATGCTTTGCGGCGTCAGCGCGGAGCCAACGCGCCCCCTCCTTTGTGTTTTTTCCAGCGCCTGCTGCCGGTGTCTGCAGCTCCGCTGTCTCGGACAAACTACTCCTCTCACTCAGCGCCGAGTTCACTCAGCTATTTTCTGACGTTGAAGCCCAGAAACTGAGACTCTAGCCGCTCAGTAACGTGTTCACGACTGAAAGAGAAAGTTTTCCAACTAACGTCCAGACAGAGCTGATATAACTCCAGCGACACGCTGAAACCAGCATTACTCTCTGGCTGCTGTCGTGTTTCCTCCCCGACACACAACAACGTGGTCAAGCTGCTCAGACATGTTCATCAGCACAAACCTATGTGAGCACCTGTTGTCGTCTAATGTTGTCATTATTATGATGAAGATGAACAAAACAACAGGAGTCTCCTCCTCAGCTCAGATCAACCCCATGATGCAGGTATCTGGCTGGAACAGGTGAGCATCACAGTAAACCAGTGGAGCAAACTGAGCTTTAAATATGTTAGTTTTCTGCTCTTTTTCTGCTCCAAAACATGAAAGTTAACAGGTGAGATGTTGCATTTTCATTTAAGATAAAATGATATTTTTATTTTGTTGTTGGCCCGTGAGAAAAGATTTAACCTACAGTAAACAGGAAGTGGAAAGGCTGCAGATAGATGAATAGAATAGAAAATCCCTTTATTGTTCCTCAGTGGGGAAAGCTAGACGTCACAGCAGCGATGACACGTATTACAGGAGAAAAAAGGAGAATAAAAAATAAGAAAAATGAATAAACAAGACAACATAAATCCTGAATAGATTTATAAAATGCTGATTATACCACAAGTAATGAATACCACTGATGCCTTTTATTTAAAACTGACTTGCTCGTGTGTACTTTGGTTATTCCACATTCAGTGTTAATGCAGAAATAAGTTTGTTTCCAAATTTAAAGGTTCAAAATTGCATTTATGTTGATAAAGAAAATGTGCACATTTGCCGTCACTTTTTCAAAAAATATTAAGTTTGGCCCTCGACTCCGTCCCAGAGTTTCATTTCGGCCCCGTGTGAGTTTGACTTTCACACCCCTGTGGCAGGGGGAGGGTAGGTGAAGATGTGTAGCAGAGACGTGTTCTGACTAAAGACTATTTATTTGTTTGCGTGCATGTGTGTTTATGCGTGCACGTGTGGGGGGTCTTGTTCTGTGTTAAAACGAAGCAGTACAAGTGATAATGCTGCAGGATTTCATAATGTTATCCTCAGCAGCAGCACTGCAGGTGCTCTCCATGTCCAACATGTGCGTAAGACAGGTCCTTAGCCAACTTAAAGTTGTGCACATTTTTCTGCTAAGTTTTCAATCATAAATCCCAAAGTTTGCGTGGAAAGTTGCTTACGCAGTTTTCCAATCCCGTTTTGTGCGTAAGCAAGCTTGATAAATGTGGCCCCAGAACTGCAACTATGAATCTGCAAGTGGGATTACATGACCAGAGGGGGCATAGGGGCTGGGGAGCCTTTCCTTAACCCAGTAAAGTGTCATTTTAGCAAATCTGACTCAACAAAATTATTTTAAAATATGAAAAAGTTGCAAAGTATCTCTTTAATAACTGCAAATTTACCAATAACAAACCTTTTGTTATCAACTTATTCAGACTTAGTTTTTTCCAAAAGTCACATTCAGAAATAAAAAATTACCTCAACATAAAAACTAACCCTTTATTGTTTTCAAACTTTAAGAACAAAATTATAATTTAGTCTCCCTTGCTGGTTTATGTATGTAATGTTACCTCTTATTATGAAACACTTAAAATATATATAATAAAAAAGGTTTTTGGTCTTGAAAGAAAGAAAGAAAGAAAGAAAGAAAGAAAGAAAGAAAGAAAGAAAGAAAGAAAGAAAGAAAGAAAGAAAGAAAGAAAGAAAGAAAGAAAGAAAGAAAGAAAGAAAGAAAGAAAGAAAGAAAGAAAGAAAGAAAGAAAGAAAGAAAGAAAGAAAGAAAGAAAGAAAGAAAGAAAGAAAGAAAGAAAGAAAGAAAGAAAGAAAGAAAGAAAGAAAGAAAGAAAGAAAGAAAGAAAGAAAGAAAGAAAGAAAGAAAGAAGACATCTTTTATAGGCTAGCGCCTCAGAATAAAATCAGGTGGCGCTTCACTGCTTCTCTGGGTTAATACACGTAAACAGGTGAATGGTACGATCCTACCTTCTGTGGTGGAGAGCCCACGGACATCTCCACGTAGTAACCCTGGCCGGACTTCCCACGGAGGTTATCGATCATGTCCACAAAGCTTACGCCGCCCTCCGCGGCTCCTCTTCGCCGACGCGCACGGTACCTGCGTTCCTGGCTGGAGGCGGCAGCCGCAGCTGCGGCGGTGGCAGTTGGCTGTGACCGCTCGTCGCAAGCGCCTTGCCGCAGTGTCACGTGGATGGCTCGAGACAGGCCCGTGACGTTAGGTGCGGCGTGTCCACTCCCGAGCAGCCATAAGCTCGCCCATATGAAGACCCGTAACGTCGCCTTCTTCATGCTGAAACCGTGTTTTCTATGTGGAGACTTTCAGGCGCTTCTCTCGGTCCGCAGCAGCTCGGGAGGAGGAGGAGAAGCAGGTGGCGAAGACGCTAAAATCACCATAATGGACGTTGGCCCACACGTCGTCAGAAGGATGGGATCGCCGATTTCTCCTTTTTGTTGACACGGCAGGGATTAAAATAAAATGAGAAAGTCTAAAAAGCCCAGAGTAGACACCAAACCGCCTTCCTCGGTGTCAGCTGTGTCAACTCGCTGCGACGGTAAAATCTGGTCATTTCCTTCACCAGTAACCCGCAGGCCCGTCCGGTTCTCCGGACATCTTTGTTTCAAAGCACCGAAACCATCGTGGGACGGGAGAGCGGCGGAGAGCCACCGTAATCCGCATCCTTCTTATCTCCTGTCCTGACCAGTTGGTCGTGTTCTCTGCCTTCCAGTCACTCCCTCACCTCCTCCGTCTTCCTCCGCCTCCATCTGCTCCGCCGCATCCCTCAGATCTAGAGGGCGCGCGAGCATCAGTGCGGACACGTTTTTTTAGTTGAACATTTTCAACATAATACTCATTTATACATGCGAGTCAGAGCCATAGACTGTCAGAGCCCATTGCCCTACATTCATTATATTCGCACAGTTAGCTTAGATGTCGTCAAATATTCTCAGGTTATCAAATGAAGTAATACTTCTACATTGTTCTTCATGCATTTTAGAGCAGTTCTATCAGTTGCTTTTTAAATACCAGAACAGCTTTTCTTTCCTCCATCTTGAGCAGTGAATACAACATTTAAGGTAATACGAGTACGTTAACAACGTCTTGTAAATCCTCCAGGTGGATTCCAGATATGATGTCCTAAGTGAAAGAGCTGGATTTTAGAATAAAGCATATTTGTATAAATACTGTGGTTTCAGCATTAAAGTCACAGAAGATACAGTTGTTATGGTCATTGTTAAATTCACTGGAAGGATGTGTCCCATTCAAAACTGTCAAATGATTTTCTTTAACCTTCGGACTTACTGGGAATTTTGAATACTGGGTTCTCCATTTCGTAACCTCTGCTTCAGGGAATTTCTGAACAACAGAATGTCAGTTTAAACATTCTGGATGTATATTATTCAAACCATTATGACAAGTTTGAGTTCATATTTCTCAAAGTCATATTCCATGAGTGATGGTAGGTTGGGTGGAGATAAATATTCCTTTATAGCGTTCTGCACAAGTTGCTTGCTGGGGGATCGATTTACATATTTTTTGAGATTCAGGTTTTTTTTTGGAACAGAATTGTTGTTCATAAATCAACCAGTTACCCTGGTTATCTAAAAGGTGACCAGATTCCTGTTTGCATCCAGTGCTGTGGAAAGAGAGAGTTACACAGAACACCAGATTGGTGTTTGGTGAGGCGTAAAATTGTGGTTGTACACGAGATTCCATCACAACAGAACTTGTTTGTGGAAGGACGACAAATTCATTGGCAGTTTTTCTATTTTAAAATCACATTTAAAGTGAGGGTCAAGGCCTGGGTGGAGACATATTTCATCCACACTTCCTGTTACAAAAACACTTCTGAAAGAGGCGTCACCTGGCGGACCGAGAGAGCGTCACTGAGGCAGTGATAGACCGCCCACCCTCAACCACCCACCCCACCACACCCACCCCACGTGCGCTGGTGGAGTTTCTCAATCTAAAAACGAGTGCGTCAGGTTTTGGTATTGTGTTATGAACGCTTGTTTTGGACTGGTGGGTAAAGTTAGATTAGCTGTCTCATTAAATACCTGAAAGAGGAGTGCCCTAAGCAGCTCCCAGAAGTGTCTGTAGAAATGAGCTGTTAACCCATCCGGACCAGGGGATTTGTGTAGTTTTAAACTCATTACTGCCTTGTCCAGTTCATCCATTTCAGTGTCTTTTTCACAGCTGTCCCTAAATTGGTTTTCAATCTCAGTTCATGCTCAGCAGCAGTTTGGGACAAACTTTCGACTCAGAGCTAAGGTCCAATGGTTTGGTAAAGGAGGCATGTGCTGGGGTGGTGTCCTTCCCAGGTTTTACTCCGAGGCATGGACGTAATTTTGGGGGGGGGACAGGGGGGACATGTCCCCCCCACTTTTTCCAAAGTCAAGTTTTGACCCCTGCACTTTTTACCATCCAAAACCAACATTACGCTATATTAAATTGACACTGGTTGAGCTCTAGGACCAAGCGGAAAACAAACGTTTGTGTTGAAGCCTGTTTCCCATTAGAGCATACTGTAAAGATTACCCACCCCACCCACCCCCCCTCCCGTGTCCCCCTCACTTCTAAAGGGAAAATTACGTCCATGGCTCCCACACACGGTCCTCCAGATATTCTGGTCGTCCACGCTGATATGAACTTCTGGCTAGCTACAGAGGAACTAGCTTTGCAGAAACACAAAAACGGTGTCTGTCTGCATCAAAACCTGACAAGTCTCGTCAGATTCAGCCCTTTGAGGAACCAAGTGTCTTTTTCAAGACTGTGGACACCAGTGGAGGTTTAACATCCATCTCCAGCAAAAACTCCTCTGTTTTACGGGCTAATCGACAAGACCAAAGATATAAAACGCTGGCAAGGTACCGAGGAATGGAGAAAAGACAGATGTCCTCTGTCCAACTCCAGGATACTCCTCGCATTCAGCTGTTGGGGAGAAGAAAGCGTTCGAGTGACGGAGGTCACCAGAACTCTGATTTCCCCAGCGCTGCTAAAAGGCCGAGGCTGTAAGAAGGCACACCTCAGCAGAAACGTCCCACTATGATCCGCCTCAAAGGTCGTAGGAAAGGGACGGATTCAGGACCCAAAAGTGTCTCCGAACCCCCCAAAACTGCATCTACCATCAAGTCTGAGCAGCCTCGAACCCCAGTAATCTGGATTATTGGATCCAGTTACATCAGACGGGGTGAAGAGGCGGCTCAGAAGCAGTTTGGGACATTTTTATTTGTATTTTTTAGTGGTCGAAGGTTACAATAATAGCTTACTGCCTATTTGTTATTATTTCTCTTCAAATTATTCTGGTGAGTGCTGGTGCTGCACTAACTAGTTAATTTCCCCACTGTGGGATCAATAAAGTCTCTTCTATTCTATTCTATTCTATATTAACAATAGCTTTCTGCTATGATTAATAATGTATCTTCCTTCAGTGCATGTAACAACTTTCAATTCAAGTTTATTTCTATAGCGCCAAATCACGACAAGAGTCGTCTCAAGGCACTTCACATAATAAACATTCCAATTCAGGTCAGTTCATTAAGCCAATCAGAAATAATGTTTCCTATATAAGGAACCCAGCAAATTGCATCAAATCACTGACTAGTGTCAGTGACTATACAGCAATCCTCATACTAAGTAAGCATAAAGCGACAGTGGAGAGGAAAACTCCCTTTTAACAGGAAGAAACCTCCAGAGAATCCTGGCTCAGTATAAGCAGCCATCCTCCACGACTCACTGGGGATCGAGAAGACAGAACAGGCACACACACACACACACACACACACACACACACACACACACACACACACGCACGCACGCACGCACGCACGCACGCACACACTCACAAAGACTAGTAATGTGTCTATAGTTATATTGTGATTTCTTAGTAAATATTCTATTTGGCGAGAGATAAACTTTATTGTATTTATCCTAGTGGATCTATAATTAAACGGATAAACTAGTATTAGCACATCCAACGTCAAGGAAGGCAAAAAGTTATCAGGAGCGGGATAATGTTTTAGTGGTTAGCAGCAGTGTGCTAGTCGATGGCCCCCTCCATGAGGCCACCGCAGCTCAGCAGAACATCGTTGTAGCTTCTTCTGGGGAGAAAAACACTTACAGAGAAAATAAAGTTAACAGCTGAAATTGCAGAAAATAATACAGTTAAAGAGCAGTAGAAGAAAGCAGTAGAGTGTGAAAAGTGGTCAGTGTATCCTCCAGCAGTCTAAGCCTATAGCAGCATAACTACAGAGATAACTCAGGATAATCTATCCTATTTAGATGGAGGCATGTTGGAGTCAGGACAAGGGAGAGCTGTCTTTACCGACTGTACACTCCACCTCCCTGTACTCCCCCACTTGTCCAGATTAAGGCTAACATCAGATTTTAACCATAGGCCCTATCAAATAAAAATGTTTTAAGCCTATTCTTAAAAGTAGACAAAGTGTCTGCCTCACAGACTAAGGCTGGGAGCTGGTTCCACAGGAGAGGAGCCTGATAACTAAAAGATCTGCCTCCCATCCTAATTTTAGATATTCTGGGAACCACCAGTAGACCTGCAGTCTGAGAGCGAACTGCTCGGTTAGGAACATATGGAACAATCAGATCACTGATGTATGATGGACCTTGATTATTAAGAGCTTTATATGTGAGAAGAAGGATCTTAAAATCTATTCTGAATTTAACAGGTAACCAATGTTGGGAAGATAAGACAGGAGAGATATGATCTATCTTTTTAATTCTCATCAGAACTCTAGCTGCAGCATTTTGGACAAGCTGAAGACTTTTAACTACATTCTGTGGACTTCCTGAGAGTAATGAATTACAGTAATCCAGTCTTGATGTGATAAATGCATGAACGAGTTTTTCAGCATCACTCCTGGAAAGGATGCTTCTAATCTTAGCAATATTCCGAAGGTGGAAAAAGGAAATCCTACAAACCTGTTTAACCTGGGATTTGAATGACATGTCCTGGTCAAAGATAACACCAAGGTTCCTTACTTTGTTCTCGGAGATTAATGTAATGCCATTCAGGTCAGGTGATTGGCTAAGCAATTTCCTTTTCTGGATTTCTGGTCCAAAGATGAGAACTTCTGTCTTGTCTTGATTTAAAAGCAAAAAGTTTAGAGTCATCCAATTTTTTATGTCCTCAAGACAAGCCTGCAATCTACCCAACCGATTAGGTTCATCAGGGTTAATGGATAAATATAACTGAGTATCGTCAGCATAACAGTGGACGTTTATCCCATGCTGTCTAATGATTTTACCAATTGGGAGCATATATATAGTAAAAAGAATTGGTCCAAGCACTGAGCCCTGTGGTACTCCGCAAGTAACCCTGGAGTATGAAGAAGATTTGTCATGTACATTTACAAAATGAAATCTGTCAGACAGGTAGGATTTAAACCAGCCTAACGCTGTTCCTTTGATCCCTACAACATGTTCAAGTCTTTCTAAAAGAACATTGTGATCAACTGTGTCAAAGGCAGCACTGAGATCTAACAAGACTAGAACAGACACAAGATTCTTATCTGAGGCCATGAGAATATCATTTGTAACTCTCACTAACGTAGTTTCAGTGCTGTGATACTCTCTAAAACCAGACTGAAATTCCTCAAACAGAGCATTAGTGTTTAAATGCTCACATACTTGGAAGGCCACTATTTTCTCCAGGACTTTGGATAAAAATGGAAGGTTAGATATTGGTCTATAATTCATTGGGCCATCTGGATCCAGAGAAGGCTTCTTACGTGAAGGTTTGATTACGTCGTCGTCGTCGT